AGAAAAAACTCCAGAGCTTGAAGACAAGGCTTGTGAATTAACCCAATCTGTCAAAGTCAAAGAAAAAATAATTTTAAAAAATGAACAAAGCCTCCAAGAAATTTGGAATTATATTAAACATCCAAACCTAAGAATAACTGGTGTCTCTGAGGAAGAAGAGAAATTTAAAAGTTTAGAAAACATATTTGAAGGAATAATTAAAGAAAACTTCCCTGGCCTTGCTAGAGATCTAGACATCCAAATACATTAAGCTCAAGGAACACCTGGGAAACTTATCACAAAAACATCATCACTTAGGCACATAGTCATCAAGTTATCTAAAGTCAAGACAAAGGAAAAAGTCTTAAGAGCTGTGAGGCAAAAGCATGAAGTAATCTATAAAGGAAAACCTATCAGATTAACAGCAGACTTCTCAGCAGAAACACTGCAAGCTAAAAGTGATTAGAGTCCTATTTTCAGCCTCCTTAAACAAAATAATTATTAGCCAAGAACTTTGTATCCAGTGAAACTAAGCTTCATAAATGAAGGGAAGATACAGTTCTTTTCAGATAAAAAAATTCTGAGAGAATTCCTTACTACCAAGCCAGTATTGTAAGAACTGCTTTAAAAAGAGCTCTAAATCTTGAAGCAAATCTTTGAAATACATCAAAATAGAACTTCCTTAAAGCATAAATCTCACAGGACCTATATGAAAATAACACAATGAAAAAAATGCATTCAGGCAACAAATAGCATGATGAATAGAATAGTACCTCACATTTCAATACTAATATTGAATGTAAATGGCCTAAATGCTCCACTTAAAAGATACAGAATGGCAAAATGGATAAAAACCTACCAACCAAGTTTCTGCTGTCTTCAGGAGACTCACCTAACACATAAGGACAAACATAAAGTAAAGAGGTGGAAACAGCTATTCCATTCACATGGACACCAAAAGTGAACAGAAGTTGTAGCCATTCTTATATCAGACAAAACAAACCTTAAAGCAACAGCAGTTAAAAAAGACAAAGGGGAACACTATATAATAATAAAATAACTACTCAAACAGGAAAATATTATAATTCTAAACATATATGCACCTAAACCTGAAACTCCCAAATTTATAAAACAATTACTACTATACCTAAAAAAAAATGAGATAGATGACAATAGGATAATAGTGGGGACTTAAGTCCCACCGACAGCACTAGACAGATCATCAAGACCAAAAGTCAGAAAAAAAAAGGACTTATACCCTACAAAATATGGACTTAACAGATATTTACAGAACATTCTACCAAACAACTACAGAATATACATTCTATTAATTAGTACATGGAACATCCTCCGAGATAGACCATATGATAGGCCACAGAACAAGTCTCAGTAAATTTAAGAAAATGAAAATTATGGCCAGGCGTGGTGGCTCACTCCTGTAATCTCAGCAATTTGGGAGGCTGAGGTGGGCAGATCACCTGAGGTCAGGAGTTCAAGACCAGCGTGGCCAACATGGCAAAACCCTGTTTCTACTAAAAATACAAAAATTAGCTGGGCATGGTGGCACATGCCTGTAGTCCCAACTACTTGGGAGGCTGAGGCAGGAGAATCTCTTGAACCCAGGAGGCAGAGGTTGCAGTAAGCAGAGATTGCACCATTGTACTCCGGCCTTGGCAACAAGAGTGAAACTCTGTCTCAGAAAAAAGAAAAGAAAAAAAAATAAGAAAAGAAAGGAAAGGAAAGGAAAGGGAAGGGAAGGGAAGGAAAGGAAAGAAAAGAAAAGAAAATCAAAATTATATCAAATACTCCCTCAGACTACAGTGGAATAAAATTGGGAATCAACTTTAAAATGAACCCTTAAAACCATGCAAATACATGGAAATTAAATAACCTGCTCCTGAATGATCACTGGGTAAACAATGAAATCAAGATGAAAATTAAAAAATTCTTTGAACTAAATGATAATAGTGACACAACCTTCAAAACCTCTGGGATACAGCAAAAGCAGTGGTAAGAGGGGAAGTTTGTAGCATTAAATGCCTACATTGAAAAATCTGAAAGAGCACAAATAAGCAATCCAAGATCACACCTCATGGAACTGAAGGAACAAGAACAATCCAAACCCAAACCCAGCAGAAGAAAAGAAATAACAAAGATCGGAGCAGAATTACAAAAAATTGAAACAAACAAAAAAAATACAAAAGATAAATGAAACAAAAAGCTGGTTCTTTGAAAAGATAAACAAAATTGGTAGACCATTAGTGAGATTAACCAAGAAAAGAAGAGAGAAGATCCAAAGATGCTGAATTAGAATGAAAATGAGAGCTATTACAACTGATAACACAGAAATACAAAAGATTCAAGGCTACTGTGAAACATCATTATGCACATAAACTAGAAATTCTAGAGGAGATGGATAAATACCTGGAAATATACAACCCTCCTAAATTAAACCGGGAAGATATACTTAATAGAATGTCTGAACAGACCAATAACAAGTAGTGAGGTTGAAATAGCAATTTTAAAAATGCCAACAAATAAAAGTCCAGGACTAGATGGATACATAGCTGAATAATATCAGACATTCAAAGAAGAATTGGCACCAATGCTATTGACACTGTTCCAAGAGATAGAGAAAGAGGGATTTCTCCTTCAATCATTCTATGAAGCCAGTGTCACCATAATACCAAAACCAAGGAAGGACATAACAAGAAAGAAAACTACAGACCAATATTGCTGATGAACATAGATGCAAAAACCCTCAACAAAATACTAGCTAACTGTATCCAGCAGCATATCCAAAAGACAATCCATCATTATCAAGTGGGTTTCATACCAGGGATGGAGGGATAGTTTAACACATGTAAGTCAATAAAAATGTGTTTATTTATGTGTTTAAGCCACATAAACAGAATTAAAAATAAAAATTACATGATTATCTCAATAGATGTAGAAAAAAATCATGTGACAAAATCCAGCATCACTTTATGATTAAACCCTCAGCAAAATCAGCATAGAAGAGACATGCCTTAAGGTAATAAAAACCATCTATGACAATCCCACAGCCAACATTATACTGAATGGGAAAACATTGAAAGCTTTTCCACTGAGAACTGGAACAAGACAAGGATGCCCATTTTCACCACTTCTATTCAACATAGTACTGGAAGTTTTAGCTAGAGCAATCAGACAAGAGAAAGAAATAAAGGGCATCCAAATCAGTAAAGAGGAAGTTCAACTGCTGCTGTTTGTGGATATGATTGTATACATAGCCCTAAAGACTCATCCAAAAAGTTTCTAGAACTGGGAAATGAATTCAGCAAAGTTACAGAATACAAAATTAATACACATCAGTAGCTCTGCTATACACCAACAATGACCAAGCTGAGAATGAAATCAAGAATGCAACCTCTTTTACAATAGCTGCCAAAAAAAAAAATAGGAATACACCTAATCAAGGTGGTGAAAAACCTCTACAAGGAAAACTACAATATACTCCTGAAAGAAATCATGAATGATACAAAGGAAACACATCCCTTGCTCACGGATGGGCAGAGTCATTATTGTTAAAATGACCATACTTCCAAAAGCAATCTACAAGTTCAATGCAATGCCTATGAAAATACTATCATCATTTTCACAGAACTAGAAAAAAAATATTCTAAACTTCCTACAGAAGAAAGAGCCCACACAGCCAAAACAAGACTAAGCGAAAAGAACAAATCTGGAGGCATGACATACCCAAGTTCAAACTATACTATAAAGCTATAGTTACCAAAACAGCATGATACCAGTATAAAAATAGGCATATAGACCAATAGAACAAAATAGACAACCCAGAAATAAAATATTTGACTTTGTTTCTGACCTTTGACAAAACAAACACAAATATAAAGTGGGGATAGGACACTCTATTCAACAAATGGTGCTGGGATAATTGGCAAGCCTTATGTAGAAGAATGAAGCTGGATCCTCATCTCTCACCCTGTACAAAATCAACTCAAAGTGGTTCAAAGACTTAAATCTAAGACTTGAAGTCATAAATATTTTAGAAGATAACATTGTGAAAACCTTTTTAGACATTGGATTAGGCAACGACTTCATGACCAAGAACCCAAAAGCAAATGCAACAACAACAAAAAAGATAAATAGATGGGACCTAATTAAACTAAAAAGCTTCTGCACAGCAAAAGAAATAATTAACAGAATAAACAGACAACCCAAAGAGTGGGAGAAAATCTTCACAATCTATTTATCTGACAATGGACTAATATTCAGAATCACAAATAAGTCTAACAAATCAGTAAGGAAGAAAACAATCCCATCAAAAAGTGGGCTAAGGACATGTATAGGCAATTCTCAAAAGAAGATATACAAATGGCCAACAAACATAGAAAAATGATCAACATCACTAATTATCAGGGAAATGCAAATGAAAACCACAATGCAATGCCTACCTTACTCTTGCAAGAATGGCCATAATAAAAAAATAATAGATGTTGGTGTGGATGTGGTGAAAAGGGAATACTTTTACACGTTGGTGGCAAAGTAAGCTAGTACAACCACTATGGAAAACAGTGTGGAGATTCCTTAAAGAATTAAAAGTAGATCTACCATTTGATCTAGCAACCCCATTACTAGATATCTTCCCAGAGAAAAAGAAGTCATTATACAAAAAAGATACTTGCACATGCAAGTTTACAACATCCCAATTTGTAATTACAAAGATATGGAATCAGCCCAAATGTCCCATCAATCATTGAATAGATAAAGAAAATGTGATAACATGTAATACTACTCATCCATACAAAGGAACAAAATAATGGCATTTGCAACAACCTGGATGGAATTGGAGACTGTCGTTCTAAGTGAAGTAACTCAGGAATGGAAACCAAACATTGCATGTTCTCACTCATATGTGGGAGCTAAGCTGTGAAGGCACAAAGACAGAAGAATGATACATTGGACTTTGGGAACTTGGAGGAAAGGGTGGGGGTGGCAAGGGATAAGACTACACATTGGGTACGGTATACTCTGCTCAGGTGATAGATGCACCAAAATCTCAGAAATCACTGCTGAAGAACTTGTTCATGTAACTAAACACAACCTGTTCCCCAAAAACCTATTGAAATAAAAAAATTAAATATTGAAAAGAAAAAGTGAAAGAGTGAATGAAGGTAAGTATGTAGAGGCAAGTATAGACTTCCAGGTCATTTGGTGCTGTATAAATGTGATGTTTTCATTGTATGGCTTCATTACTACGAAACTCTTTATAATAACAATATGACAATTACTAGAGACATAGTTTATTGCTATGTAATTGGTTATGTACTATTCTACTAGCACTCTAGGACTTTGAATTCATCTTATCACCATTATTATCCATTAACCTGAGAGAAGTTCTAGCTTCTTCACAAGAGATAATCAGTTTCTCCAATAAATACATCACAGTTATTTTCTCTTGTCCTCTATTTCTTTTCTTTTTACACTTTTCAGTGTAGTTCACATATCTTAAATGTTCACTTGGTGGAGATACATGTGCGCGTGTGTGTGTGTGTGTGTGTGTGTGTGTGTGTGTTGGAAGGTACACATACTACTGATCAAGATATGCAAGATATAGAACATTTCAGCCCTCTGGGAGACTCCCTTGTACTCTCCCAAATCAATATCTCTATTCTATTTTATCTTGCTTCTTTTGCTAAACCTGATATTTATGAGACTAATTCATTTAATAGCTTATTTTTATATTGTTGTTATTTCTATACAATCTGCTACAAAATATTGCTACTTATTTTTCCATGTTATTGTCGGTGGTTAGTTTTTTTATATTTGGTTATTATCAATAAATCTATGAACATTCTATTAGATGACTTTTGGTGGTGATATATATTTATTTCTCTTGTATATATAACTAGGAATGGAATTTCTGAGTCATAAGGTATACATATGTTTAGTTTTAGTAGATACTATCAAAATGCATTCCAAAATGATTGTACTAATTTAAACTCTTACCAACAATGAGGAGAGTTTCAGTTGTTTCACATACAGAGCAACACTTTTAATTATTAGACTCCTTTTGCTTTAAAGAACGTACAATTTAGGAAAATAGGATTAACACGTAGGAAAACATAGCTAAAATACAAAGTGCTACATGATGAGTGTATGATGGGACAAAAATTAAGGAACTGTCGATATTCCCAGACTTTGTCCCTTGTCCAGAACTCCAAAGATAATCTTGCAATTGCTGTCCCAGTATTACCCTTCTTACTATACTTATATGTTTAACCAAGATATAACTTTCATAAATAAAGTGCACAGATCTCAAATAATAGTTGGATGAGTTTTGGCAATTAGGCACATCTGTGCAACCACTTCTCAAAACAAGTGATAGAAATATTCTTCACCATCCAAAGTTCTCTCATACCCCTTTCCAATCAATCTGCTCCCTTAAAACTTGCCAGCAGGCCGGGCGCGGTGACTCAAGCCTGTAATCCCAGCACTTTGGGAGGCCGAGGAGGGTGGATCACGAGGTCAAGAGATCGAGACCATCCTGGTCAACATGGTGAAACCCCGTCTCTACTAAAAATACAAAAAACATTAGCTGGGCATGGTGGCGCGTGCCTGTAATCCCAGCTACTCAGGAGGCTGAGGCAGGAGAATTGCCTGAACCCGGGAGGCAGAGGTTGCGGTGAGCCGAGATCGTGCCATTGCACTCCAGCCTGGGTAACATGAGTGAAACTCCATCTCAAAAAAAAAAAAAAAAACTTGCCAGCAGAGGCAATCACTCTTTGATTCCTGTTACCAGCCATTTGCACTTTCCCAAACTTCTGCAGATGTCCCATGGGGCAAGTTGGTTGTATATTTGGGGCTTAACAAGATTCCAATCCTTCAACATAGTCAGTGTGACTATCAAAACTCTGAGGGTTCCCCTACCCCACCCTTAGTAAAGTATCTCTACTTTGGCTAGCTCCCATGATTGGCAAAATGTCACTAAGGTAGAAAATGATCAGCATTTGCCAACTTTTCTCTAAAAAGGACATTTTCTTTTTTGGAAATTTAGGCAATGTAGACATTTTTGCTTCTGTAGTTGTCTGATGCCTCTAAAAATATTATCTTTAAATCTTTGTAAATTTTTCCCATAATTATTGCAGCAGAAATGTTGAGTTATTACTGTTTACTGCTTCCTACTTGAAAATGGACATCTGTTTTCTTTTTAAAAAATTATTTTAAAAGAATTTATCAACAAGTACCTATTATTTACCTGTTTTATTCTTAACACTGTCCTGTGAGAGTTAGAAAAAGAATCTAAGCCGATGATCCTTAACCAAGGTAGCTGACATCATTTAAGAAGAAAAAACATAACCAAGTGAAACTATAAGTGGATGACAGTGTGGCAGTTCCTCAAGGATCTAGAACCAAAAATACCATTTGACCCAACAATCCCATTACTGGGTATGTACCCAAATTATTATAAATCATTCTACTATAAAGACACATGCACACATATGTTTATTACAGTACTGTTCACAATAGCAAAGACTTGGAACCAACCCAAATGGCCATCAGTGATAGACTGGATAAAGAAAATCTGACACTTATACACCATGGAATATTATGCAGCCATCAAAAAAAAGAATGAGTTCATGTCCTCTGCAGGGACATGGATGAAGCCGGAAGCCATCATTCTCAGCAAGCTAACACAGGAACAGAAAACCAAACATTGCATGTTCTCACTCATAAGTGGGTGTTGAACAATGAGAACACATGGACACAGGGAGGGAAACATCACAAACTGGGACCTATCAGGAGTAGGGTGCATAAGGGAGGGATAACATTAGGAGATACACCTAATGTAGATGATAGGTTGATGGGTGCAGCAAACCACCATGGCATGTGTATACCTATGTAACAAACCTTCATATTCTGCACATGTATCCTACAACTTAGTAATAATAAAAGAAAGCATTACAACCATGTCAAATATAATAGGAAAGTCTATAACCTTGGTTAAGTCATTTTGTCTTCCAGATTTACAATTATAACCAAGAGGTCTAATTCCAGTTTGTGATTATCAAACATTTATGTTAAACACACTGAGCCAGATGGTGGGGCTGGCCACTAAGTAGCTGCCCATTTAAATGAGGTATAAAAACAGCAATGGAAATATAATAAGATGGAGAAAATGCAATTTATCAGAACCTCACTCAGGAAGAGTACTGTATGACTGTATCTGATCGTAGAGTAAGCTGTTTGGGATATTGGGTGAGATTCCCAAGGAGAATGCTTAAGAAAGAACAGATGGAAGATAAACTCTTCTAAGGAGAGGAAAGCTGGTTCACCACAGAGCTTTTGTTTTGTAAAACAGCACGTCTGGGTTCCATCCAAGATGCCTGGGACAAGAGAGGAGAGGCTGAGGCTCTAGCAGCCCTATTTTTCTGTCCCCTCATGCAGCTTTCAGTATTTCTGCATAAATGATGAGCACATAGTTTTAAAGTATAGTCTAAATGAGACCACATTCATATTAGCTTTGCATGCTCAGCCTAAGTCTCTAGTAAAGAACTTCTTTATAAATGAAGTTGCACACAGAACCCCAGTACAAAAACATGAAAGAGAAATCACCTGGTTAAATTATACACAAGAGTGTGGGGCTTTGTATGCTCAGCTTCCCTTAAAATCTGCTGATAAAATTTTGCCAAATCCTAGGCCTCAATGGAATACTCTCTGAAAACTACTTAGATGATTTCCACCTTTTTTTTTTTTTTAAACCACTGAAGTTCTGTGATTCTGTGATAAGGTATAGACATCTGGAGAATCAGAATGTAATATTTTATTTCTTAAATTTTAATCTGTCGTTCATGAATATTAATACTTTAATTATTTGATGTAATAACAGATATTTTGAGAAAAAGGAAACATTTACACATTAAACGTACAATTATCCCTTTTATTTTCTCTCTCTTTTTTATATTCTGAAAGCTTTCCTGGACTTCTCATGACCCTTCTATTAAATAATGTTTTTATTTCTATGAACTCTTTTTTTAATTTTATTATATAGTTTTGAAATAGTCACCTGTTCTTGTTTTCTGAATGCCCACTCTTCTTACAGTTCTCTGAGGCTGTTAACTAGAATTCTCTTGATGTTTGTTTCTCTTTTCTAGGGTATCCAATGTTTGCCTCTCAGTTCATTCTTCCATCCTATTTTTTTCTTTTCTGAACAGCTGGTTCTCTGCAAGTTTCCCTGGAGCCTTGATTGTAATTCATATTTAAGCATGAAGGACTGTTGATTAGTAAAGGCAGATGACGTGGTTTCCTCTGTTGCTTCAGGTGCCCCTCCACAGGGAGACAGCAATTGGAATTCAGGGTGTGCTGACTGCTAGGCTTCACCTCCGTCAGGCTGCCCTGTCTCTCCCTCTGCTGGGCCACAATGAAGACAGCCAGCTTTCAGGGACCAACTTTCATGTAGGTGCAAGTTCTTCCCAGGCATCTTCTTTAATTTTTTAGGAGCATTTCCCACCTTCACTGGGGGAGACACTGCTGTGGCATGGGGCAGAGAGAGTGGAGGAGGGGCTATCACCTGACCCAGCAGAATTCTGCAGGTGGCTCTTCATTCATCATCTTGACTTCTGCTTCTTCTCCCATTCTCTCTACATTGCTCATTCCAAAAAATTATACAGGGAAAACTTATTCATGTGGTGGTCTTCCTCCTATGCATTTCCTGAGCTGGGGCCCCCTCCTGCATCCAGTGTTATTGGGCAGTATAAACCATTGTTCAAGATTTTTTAAGTGGCTGTAACTCCCATTCTTGGTGCTTTTTAATGGCTTTATATCCTGGTACACTTTACAGAGGTAGCATTCTAAAGATGGGGCAGCTGGAAAGCTCTGGGTGCAAGCAACAGGAGGTGTATTGCTGGTAGAGAATTTAAACACAGTAATAAAACCAACTGAAAGGAAGTCTGGTTTTTATAATCACTAAGGTCAGTGATAACTGGCCTCCTCCAATCTCTCAACCAAAAAAACCCACTTTCTTTGATCTAAGTTCTAAATAATTGCTTTGGTTACTGTAGAGTTTTAATAACATATATGTGTGTCAAAAAAAAAAACCCACAGTTCTTACTGCTTATACTTTAACAACACTGGATTCTACAGTGAAGCTAATTTGGAAATTTCCCAATTATACAGTTGACCCCAACACAAATAAACATAGTTTTTACTGCTTATTCTATAACAAACATTGGATTCTACAGAGAAGCTAATTTGGGAATCTTCCAATTACATAGTTGACCCCAACAGAAAGGGACTCAGCTAGCTATGTTTGTTTCAAGAGTAAGTTCTTAAAGATTTGGAAGCATTCAAGCTCACTTCAGAAGCATTTGTATTTCCAATCCCTATAGTGCTACCTATGCTAGCATTGAAAAGAGTAGACTTGAAATCAATGACAGTGCGGTGATGGTAAAGAAGAAACAGAGCTTGAGTTACTTCCATTATCTCATTTTATGTGACAATTTTGAGTTTTATTTGTGCTTAAATTTAGAACAATGACCATCAGACCAAATAGTAAACTGTAATATTTTTGTGGTAGGTACTAATTTTAGTTCACATGTGAAATATTTCACTAAGTATTTTTAAATGGAAATTTTTGTTTATAAATTAAATATTTGTTTCAAACTGTGGAACAAATTAAAGAAGTAATGATTAGTACTGAAAACAATTTTGTTATAAAAAAGGGAGTATTAAAAGATGATGCGTCTGGGTGTCAAATAACTGCATGTCACTGCTTTTTGTCATTTCAGTGGATTGGGGGAAGGAAGGAAGTCAATGCATGTGTTCATGCTGCCATTTTGAACCAGTAGTTAAATGAACTTGTTTAAATAACTTGTTTAAAGCAAGGTTTAAGTCAGTAATGGAGCTTGGGTCCCACTCTCACTATTTTTACTTAAACTAGTCATTGCACTTCGTGTGATTAGTCAGCCTGTGAAGAATATCCATAAACGTCCAGCTTTCCCACTCCCTTTGTTGCTGAGCACAAGTCCCATTCCTCATTAGGACTTCTCCTAAGGCTGTTTCAGCTCAGACTTTTCTTAAGCCTCACATACCTTATACTTCATCTAGTGCTTTTCATATTACACCTGTGTTTTGCTTCCACCTGGACTGTAATCTCTTTAAGGGCAGGAGCAACATTTAATGAATTGCTCTATCTCTTTGCAGCACAGAGCCTACTTCCTATAGGTTTCCAGGAGTAGTTGCTGATAGAGATGGTTATGGTAAGGTTGCAAGGAAAGGCTAACCCTCAATGGTGACTTACTGTGAAGATGGATTTTTACAAAAAAATCAATTCATTTGGAAACTAGTGTGAAAAATGAACTCTGAACTCTCAGTGTTTTTACTTTTTCGTCAAAAGTAAAGTATGATTACAAAGCAATGAGATTTCTTGATAGCTTAATTTACACAGTGGCTCCAAAGGAATTTCCAGAAGTATGATTACAAATGCATTCTGTGCTGTGGCAAAGTCATTCGCATGTGCATCTAGCCTCCTTCAGAAGACTGACTCTGAAAGATAACACTTATTGGATCTGCTGGTTTAGTTACCTGAATAACCTGAGGTGATACTATTTTCCTAAAGCACTAAGTCATGGTAATAGCATTGGGTCAATCTGAAACATTTTCAGAGATGAGAAGAAAACTGGATTTGACAAGACAGTAACCGTTTGCTCCCTCTCTCGTTAGGAGAAAGTTTTGAGCTTGTTCTCTTCACAGCCAGGGCATTGTTGTAATCAGACATCTTCTGTTAAATGTTATTCAATTTCAATTGCAGAGAGAAATAAAAAAGGATAGGAGAGCTGTGACTGAGAGAGCTGTACTTTATATCATTAAGAAATATATATATATATATATATATATATATATAAAGAGATAGCTATATAAATACAGTCTCAAGCAAAAGACCTTTCATTGAGAAAAATAATACTGTGTTTGAACAGAATCAAAGTTTATCAGGTCACGATGGAATGGAGAGGATAAGTTGAGGCTTGTTTAACAAATACAAATATTGGATATTCAAGAACGATAAATTTAGGATAAATATAAGGTTTGTATTATTTCAACAGAGGGAAGCAAATACACTTCTGGAACTCACTTAGCCTCAGAGGTGGTATCGGCTAAAATAGAAGCAGATTGCATAGTGCTTACAACTCATTCCAAGGTGATAGGTATAGCATGGATTATTAAGGGAAGCCAGAGTTATTGGACCTTTCCCTGACCTCTGAGGCTGATGCTGAATGTGACATGCTGGCCCTCCAGGACTCATTCTTGGGGTCATCATTAGAGACAGCAGTCAGCTGGACTGCAGAACCATGGGACTGGCCCAGGGGCACAATTCTGATGTTCTCATGTTTCATCTCACTGAGCTGAATATTAACTTTCGGCCTGTAGTGTCTGTCACCAAGTCATCTGTCTTGGTAAATGCTGTTGGAGTCTCAGCATTGTGAGAAGGCAATGAATTTTCCCTGCTGACAGTGAGAATATCCACACCAAGCTGCTATAGAGATTTCTGCTTCCCACAATGTTTATGACAGTAAATTAGGGTACAGAGTGCACTGGAGATTGTTTACATAACCCCTGATAGCTGGTATATTTGTCAGTCCCACTTCATGGGCTATGACTTTAGTAGAGCCAGATAATGTTTAAAATATAAGGCTATAGATAATGTATGAAATGATCAGAATGCTTTACAAGAACCCACACTTGTTTATTTGGATCTTTCCGATGGATCTCATGTGTTTTCTTTCCTCCTCTTTTTCACTTTTTTTTTGATATGGTTTGGATCTGTGTCTCCACCCAAATCTCATGTTCACTTGTAATTTCCAATGCTGGAGATAGTGTCTGATAGAAGGTGATTAGATCATGGTGGTGGATCCTTCGAAAATAATTTAGCACCATCCTTTTGGTGCTGTTCTTGTGATAGAGTTCTCATTAGATCTGGCTGTTTAAAAGTGCACAACACCTCCCACCCTGTCTCTTCCTCCTGCTCTGGCCATGTAAGATGTGCCTGCTTCTCCTTCGCCTTCCACCATGACTGAAAGTTTCCTGAGGCCTCCCCAGAAGCTGAGGAGAAGCCGCCTATGCTTCCTGTACAGCCTGCAGAAACTTGAACTAATTAAACCTTTTTTCTTTATAAGTCACCGAGTCTCAAGTATATCTTTAAGGCAGAGCAAGAAGGGAGTAATACAGTTCTAGTACTAACTTTCCGTTTTTCTCCGGATTCATTGTTAGTTTCAATTCTGTACCCAAATAGAATAGCTTGGGCTTGTCTTTTAAACTTGTTGCAGGTCTTAGGTCTGGCTCTCTACAGAGCCATTTTCTTAGGAAAGCCAGTGACACAAATTGGCCACATGTGCGGATAATTTTCAGCTCTCTAGATCTCACCCTAACTCTTTACCTTGTGTCCAGACTTTCAGTTCAGCTTTATGCTTCCACTTACCTTGTTCAGTCTTCAGCAGAAAATCCTGTTTTATAAACTTGATTGCAAAATAGAGACTGTTACATAAAGCAATCACCATTGAGTGTCATTCCAATCAAAACAGAAACTTTCAGGAAATATTCACTTTCACAACTTGTGTGTGTAGCCCTCATTTGCAGTAAATTTTGTCCTTTGATACTAGAATCTGATTTTTCAAAAGAGCTAAAGTTATCTGGTTTTAAAAAAATAAATTTGATGGTAAAGTAGCCCCAACAGGTTGTTCTTCATATAATTTTTACTTTCATTAAGCTAAAAACCTGTTTTCTTATATGTTTCATTCATTTGATATAATTTCATGGCCACTTTGTTTCCAAAACTACAAGAAGACTTAGTGATACAGAAGTAAATGATACACAGAAAACATTAGTTAAAATAGTGGCTCTGGAGGGAAATTTTGATTTATTGGCTCAAATTACCCTTTATATCCATTTTTAATGGCTTTTAGCAGGCCAAGACTAATTAGTAGATTATGAATTTTAAATGTAGTGGTCACTACTTGCAATGCTTTGTTTATTTTGTTTTGTTTTGTTGATGAAGCAGAATAAAATAGAAGAGAATAGAATAATATAGAATAGGATTCCAGTTATGCTTAGGATATAGAAAGTCACAAGATAACTCTGTTCCTATCCTACCAGTAAGACTGAATAGTCAACAGCAACAAAAATTAATTTTCTTGAATCCACACTAGAGTTTAGGTCACTGGGTAACAAGGTGAAGTGAATTCTTCAAAGTGCACCAAAGGTAACTATAGTAATTAAAAACCAAAATCCAGATCACTTAGATTAAATCAACTCCCCATAATAATGTCCTGATAGAAGAAGGAACATGTCCATTTTTTATTCAAATATTTTAAAATTCAGTCAGTATTTTTCTAAGCATAATGTTTGGCATTTGATTACAAAAGTTAAAATACCCCCCAAAACTAGCCCATGATGAAGAGACAAATTAGTAGAGATGATATAGATGCTGGAACATTGAACTTTAAAAATACTTATGATTGATATTTATTAATTATGTTAATCACTGGAGAAGTAGACAACATGCAAGAATAGATTCAGAATTTCAGAAATGTGATAAAAACTACACACATAAGAGATTTTATAAGCAGATTGGTCACAACTGAATAAGACTGAGTGAACTTGAAGTTAGAACAATAGATCTTATTTAAGCTTAAACACAAGAAAAAAACAGGTGGTGGTAGAGAAGACAAAGCATCTGAGAGCTAAGAATTGTGGGTCAACATCAAAAGTTAACATATGTGTAACTAGAGTCCCAGGTAGAGGAAAAACAGGAGAGCAGAAAAAAATATTTGAAGAGATCATGGGCAAGTCTTTTCCAAAATTGATGAAATGTAATAAACCAAAGATCTAAACACTTTTCAATGTATATGCAATTAATAGCAGAATTTTGAAGTACATAAAGCAAACACTTACAGGACTGAAGTGAAAAAAAAAGTCCACAATTATAGATGGAAATCTCAATACTTCCCAATACAGGAAGTATTCTCAGTACAGGAATTGCTAGAACAAATACACAAAAAAGCAAGAATATAGGAGACATGAATTACACTATCAACCAAACTTCAGCAAATTGACATTTATAGAACACTTAACCCATCAGTAATAGGATACACATTCTTTTCAAGTACACATGGAACATTCATTAAGAAGCACTATCTCCTGGGTCATAAAACTAAGCTCAATAAATTTCAAATAACTGAAATTATGTATATTAGGCCATTCTTGCATTGCTATAAATAAATATCTGAGACTGATTAATTTATAAAGAAAGAGGTTTAATTGGCTCACAGCTCTGCAGGCTGTACAGGAAGCATAATGCTGGCATCTGCTTCTGGGGAGGCCTCAGGAAGCTTACAATCATGGCAGAAGATGAAGGGGGAGCAGGTGTTTCACATGGTGGGAGCAGGAGCAAGTGCAAAGGGGAAGGTGCTACACACTTCTAATGGCCAGGACTAATGAGAACTCACTCACTGTCTCAAGGACAACACAAGGAGATAGTGCTAAACCATTCTTGAGAAATGCACCCCCAGGATCCAGTCACCTCCCACCAACCCCCACCTTCACCACTGGAAATTACATTTCAATATGAGATTTGGGCTGGGACACACATTTGAAGTATAAAATTATGTAAAGTAATTTTTCTGCAGAATAGATTTAAACTAGAATCAATAACAGAGAGCTATTAAAAAGAAGCCAAGCACATTGGTACATGTCTGTAATCTCAGCTACTCAGGAGGCTGAGAGTTCAAGGTCACATAGCAAGACCTCATTTCAAAGATATTGCAATGATTTCTTTAACAGTTTGCAACCATTAATGAATCGGCCTTATTATCAGCATATATAATAGATGATAAAAATAACACTTGTGTGACAAACAGAAAATTGCTCATACAGTTGCTGAAAATCATTTTTCTTATTATATATTGATGCTGTGTGTCCAATCTTTGATAAATTACCTGGTAAATAAGAAACTATTTTTCAGTGTTATCATTTATATATTCTACTATTAAAGAACATTTCAAATTACATTATTATACTTAAGTATTGTACAAATTACATTATTATTATTACACCACAATCCAATCTGATGAATGTTCTGATATTTACAATATTTGTAATTTAGATGGGATTAACTGTGGCAATATAATTTTATAGAAGATTTGTTTAGTTGTGTAAGTTTAATCTAAATTACAATTCATTTAACCTGGATTCTTATATTTCCTCCTAGAATTAGGAAGAAAAAAATGGTGGTCAACATATATTTACTTAGAAAAATTACAAAAAGAATGACATGATAAGGCAAAAATATATTGGAAAGTATATGGAAATTACTAAAATGCTTAGAGTCTATTAATAATGGTACCATTTCAAAATACTGCAAATATATATAATAAATCTTGAGAATTCCTCAAAATTCTGCAACTGTCATGAGTATATTTAAAAATAAATGAAATAATGTTAAATTTAATGACTTTAATTCCTTTAACATTTAATCTTAAAGCAATTTTACCAAATAACTAGATTGTGGAAATATTTTTTTCAGCGATTGTAGTTAACTGTTTGTATTTACTATATAATTCTGAAGTTCCTTGGTTTTTGGAAGAGAAAGTATTAAGCAGGGCATAGAAACTCACAAATGAGATTCACATTTTCAATTGTAAAGAAATCTCACTTGGAAAATATTTTTAAAGATGTTATATGGGTAACAAAATTGGCTACTTAACTGATATTTTAAGCAATCTTAACAAATACAATTTAAAACTACAGGGAAAACCAATGCTATATTTCAACAAGTTAAGAGTTCCAAAAAATGTTGTTATGGCAAGCAAGACTCAAAAATAGTCACCCTAGTTGCTATGTTTTCCCAACATTGCTGTAACATATTGAAAAAGAATGCTATTAATGAAGCCAATTTGAATAAAATAAATTTAGAGATACTGTTACATTTTACTTCTTTGTTTCAAACTTTCAATCACTACTTTCCAGAAGGGAAATTTGAAACATGAAAGAAGAAAGTTTTCTATGCAAATCTTGAATTAATTATTGATTTAAACTTGGTTCCCTAAAAATAAAATAAATCATTATATCTAAGTTCTTCCCTTTGGTAAAATAGGGTTTACCATTGTTTTGGATTAAGATTATAAGCAAATTTCTATTGCTATGCAGAAAAAGTATATATCTATAATTACCATTCACAATGACAATATTTGTATAAACTAAGATTTTCAACACTGAATTGACCGTAAACAAAAGAAAATAATGGGCCCAAAAGTGTACCAGAGGTAATCTGTTTCTGGTTAAGGCAAAATAACAGAGACTAGATTTACCATTCCATCTATTTTATCTAATTTTTTATTTTTTAGTTGTTTCAAAACATTTTATTTTTTTGAAACAACTAAAAAATAAAAAATTAGATAAAACAGATGAAACAATGATTTTTAAGAAATTGGATACCAGATAATGAAAGGCAGTAATCTATGAGATGTAATAAATAAACCTTATGATGTGAACCTTATAAGTAGCCACAGTGCAGGGAGAGGGGACCCAGACAGTACCTATTGGTGTCCCTGAGTTGAAGGACAGAGCTGAGACACCAAGGCCAATAGAGTTAACAGAGCATAATACCAAAGAAGGAAGAACCTCATGAAGAGA